TTTCAGAGTCGACCCACACCCCCCCCGCCATTCGCCCCCCCCCTGCCACTGCTACCCCCCACCCGCCATCGCCACTGCTACCCACCACCCGCCATCGCCACCGCCACCACTACCACCCACTCGCTACCACCCACCACTCGCCACTGTCACCCACCCACCTACCACCACCACTCGCCACCTACCTGCCACCACCACCCACCCGCCATCACCCATCACCACCCGCCACCCACTTGCCACTACCACCCACTACCCACTCGCTACCACCCACCACCCGCCACCGTCAGCCACCCACCCACCACTGCCACCCACCATCACCACTTTCCACCACCGTCTTCTGTCGCCATTTGCCACCACTTGCCATTTCTCACTCTTTTTTATATTTTTAAATTTTTTAAAACATTTTGTCAATTAACAAACGTGTTTGTAGTTTATGTTTTTCTAAAAATAAACAAAAAATAAACAAAAACCAGTTTATAAAATTTTTATAAATATAAACTGAAAACGTAAACGTTACCAAACACACCCTTAACTCTTTGGCTGCTTCTAATTAAAAGGAAAGTAGAAGGCTAGGGTTCATCAAAAGGCACATAGAGAGAAAGAGAGACAGAGGGAGAAGGAGATGGCACTAAAACAAAACAGAGTTTTTACGGCTCCACATTAATGACATACAGTAAATACAAGCCGTGGTTTCTCACTTTTACGACTTACTTTTTTTGCATGTCGTAAATAATTTCTCAACTACGGCGTGTCTATTGAGTAGGTCGTAAATGCTAATAATGATGATTTTTTTACAGCTTGCGATGTTAGCCGTAAATAATAAAACTTTCTATGACGTGCATATGGCATGCCGTTAATACATCAACTATACACGACACACATACACTAGTTAAAAATATTGAATATTTCACAGCGCACAAAAAGTCAGCCATTAAAAATATTGCACTTTTTACGACGCACAAAAAATCAGTCGTTAGAAAATACACTTTCCATGACGCACATATTCTAACTGTTAAAAATATTTTATTTTTCATGAAACGCAATTTATGTCTAAATAATATGATCAAAATAAATCAATAATGACTTGGACACTATTTTTTTCCCACCCCCTTAACCTTCTCTTCACCTAATTGATCACTTTTTTTTTTTCCTTCTCCTCCAATCACCACCCACCATGTGTATAAGGTGGTGATTGGAGGGGTCTCAATAATCACCCAAAATAAATATAGGCGCCAAAATGAAATACTTTGGCGCCAAATGGAAAAATGAAACAATCTTCGAATGAAACACTCTTCGAATTGGGCGTAGCTCTCTTTCTAAACACTTGTATGTCACACACACTCTCTCTCTCTCTCTCCAAACCGTCTCAGCCTCGCAGATCATTGTCTCAGTCTCACAGATTTTCATCTCAACCTGAACCTTCATGGAAACCCTAACCTTGAGCTCCTCTACCACTCTCCAAAGCCTCATTACTGTGTCTCACTACCCTAACCTCATCGGCGATGCCTGAATGGGGAAGAGTAGGGTGAGACGGTGGTGTTCGTCTGCCTCGGAAGCGTAGGGTGCTTCGATCCACCTCGACTGGCGGAGATCGTGGCAACGCTGGAGAAGAGCGGCCACCAATTCTTGGGTTCCATGGAGCCTTCACCGATGACGATTCCGTCTCCATCCTCTCTCGTCTCCCCTCCGTCGCTTCTCTCAACCTAATTTTTGATTCCTGGGACTTCTACACCGATCGCATCCTTCTCGTAATCTCTCTCTCTCTCTCTCTCCAGAAAGGCGGCCCGGGCAAAAGAGGAGCGCGGGAAAAAAGGGAGGAGGAGACGAACGAGGGGGGACCCGGAACCGGAAAGACGGAGCGGAAGCCCAGGGGGGGAGACGGAGGCAATCGGCCAGGGAAGGCACAGCCCCACGCACGGGCAAAGGATGGGCATAGAGGGAGCACGCGCGGCGCGGAGCGAGGGAGCGGCGGGAAAAAAAAAGAAAGAAAAAAAGGCCCAAAGACACAAGAAGGAAAAAAGAAACGGATAAAAACGAAGGAGGAGGCGGGAGCCAGAAAGGGGGGGCACGGGCCGGGCCAGGAGCCGCCGGCCCAAGAACCAGTGGGGGGGATGGACGGAAGCCCCGGGGGCTCGGGCGGCCCGCGGGAGACAAGGCAAGGGGCCAGGGCCTCGAAGGGAGCGCGCGCTGGCCGCACGCCGCCAGGGGGGGGGTGAGATTGTGTGGCCAGAGGCGGGATTTCTATTTATTTTTGGCAAGGGTGATATAATGTGGCCTCGTGGGGCGCATGGAGGGCATATGTTCACTGGTCAAACGCATTTTTTATTGGTGTGGGAATGAGGGGGGTGGTTAAGGGGCCTTTTTCGATCTTCGTTTTCCCTTATCACCGTTGCCAGTGTGATTTTTTTTTGCGTTTTCGAGTATGGTGGGGGTGGGGTTATTATGTGTTCGATTATGTTTGCACTGTCTTTGGGCGATTGTCTTGAGTGAACCTAGGCCGTCTCATACATTCAGATGAGTTGAATTTGCGAGAGAGGAGATTACGTAAAGGATCGATCGGTTGTAGAAAGTCCCAGGAATCAAAAATTTAGTGAGAGAAGCGCGGAGGGGGACGATGAGAGGATGGAGACGGAAATCGTCATCGGTTTGAAGGCTCTCATGGAACCCAAGATGTGCGTCTCTTCCGCGTTTGCCACGTCTTCGCCGTCGAGGGGATGCAAGCACCCTACCGGTCCGGAAGGGAGCTATTATAGCCTGAGAAATGTGTGGCCAGATTATTTGTTTTATTGGTACCCAGAAACAGTATTGGTGTTCATGTTATAATCTGTTTTAAGGTGAAATGGTCGTTTATCATGTTCTGCGAGACTGAGTATTTAATTTGATTGAACTGTGGAACCTTCTTTTGAAACAGTTGTATTTACCAACTGTATGCCATCGAGTTTCTGTGATAATATATTTATTTTGGAATTGAACCCTGTTTTCAAAAACTGTATTTGATATCCCACTGTGCTACTCACTAGAGCTATCAGCTGGACTTAGTTTGTTTACCATTTCCAGGGTGTTAGATTGACTTAGAGGGACTCAATGGGCGTAGCGGGGACTCACGTGAAAATGGCATCTGGGGCAATTTATTTATTTTCTATTTAGGTTGCTTTGTCAGAGTTTTGTGCATACTTTGTGATTGGGTTTTATTTAGAAATTATTTTATTTTTGTGGTGTTGTTTATTATCCCATAAGTTTGGATGGCTTTGATTACGGTTGTTTTGCCGTTTCATAATTGTGCATGTCTGGATTGAGTTTTGGTTATTTAATTATTAGGACTATTGTTTCATTGTTCATGTGATTGGATTCATGTTAGGCTTTACGTGTGCCTTGGGCTAAGTCCTAAGGGCCACGGACCGCGAACGGTCACATGTGCCCGTGTGTGATCTTACGACCGTACTCTCATTGCAGGTGTGCACTTTATGTGAACCCCGATGACTGAGAGTGATCATAGATTAAACAATAGAAAGTAGATGACACTCATACAAGTAATGTGAGGCCTTGAGGTAGATGGTATAAGCTTAGGAGTCCTACGAGTATAGGAGTTCATTGTAACGGCCAGAATTAGCCAGGAGAAGATCATACTGCTTTGTTAGGAAACGATTGACATGTCGCATCAGAGATATGTTCTCGAATCTTTGAGGACTGGATTCACTCTGGGATATAGTTGTGAAAGAGATGCCCAGATGAACGAAGTGTCTGTTGTGGGGGAGTTTAACATGTGATTCAAGTCAAGAGAGTAGTTTCCTCGGGCTCCAATAAATCGAAAATATAGGTAGTATATTGACTTAGAAAGATGTGTTATGTTATCAAGATTATATTGCCCATAATTTACGAGGCGGCCACACTCGGTGTATTCTTATACTTTCTGGTGCGTGGTTATGAATGACAATTAATGTGTAGTTGTATATGAAAAGAGAGCATCAAAATAATACTGAAGTGACACCGTACTCATCTAGCCCACCTATTATTCCAATTTACCAAGAGCATTGAGCATGCATTTGTAAATAATGTTTGGTGTGATGGTGAGGGAAAGGGGAAAAAAAAAGTTGTGCACAAATTCTGTAGATAGAAGCATGTAATATAGAAATGATGAAATTCTTCATTCAAAATTTCTGTAAACATAATATAGGCACCATTTACAGAATTTGTGGTTAAAATCAAACAATATAGAAAAGTAAAAATGGATTAATGACAGTTTCCACCACCTCAGCGATGGCAGTGATCAATTAGTTGAGAGAAGGTTGGACGGGACGAGTGGGAAAAAATGTGTCCACATGAGTCGCAATCTAGCTTGATTTATTTTGTATCAGGCTCGACATGGTGACTATACAGGCGACCCTTAGCGTTTCATTAAAATAAACTGAACTCATTTTTTAACAGTTTAGAATATGTGGTTGGCACTGGATGGAAAGTGCTGGGACGTGCAACTTACTTCGTGCCTCTCTGGACTTCTCTCTCTCGTACTTTTTCTGGTGTGTGTGTCGTCATACTATTACTTGCGCCACTTCACTTGTTCAATTGGTGCTCTGACACTTTAACCTAGTCTGTGCTGCTGCTAAATTATCATAAATTATTATTTTCTGTGAACTGTAGGGGAAATTGAATTAAAGCACATTATTTTTTTTTATTTTAAATTATTAACCTTGATGGTCGTATTACTAAGATCAGATCGTTTTGTGGTTAGTATTTTGTAAGCTCGGCTGCATGGATTCACGTCAACTCCCGAGTTTCTAGGTAATATTAAAACTGGCTTAAAAGCATTCGACTCACAGTCGTGTTCATAATGAAATGTAGATTTGAATATTCTTTTTCCATTAAGTAGTTCGGCAGCGTGTTGGCGACCTACTCATAGGACACGATGCATTGAGAGCTTTTGTATAAACTTATATTCACTGTCATCTTTCAATAAAATTAGGAAAGTTTCATCAAGATGACTATATTCAATCATCGAGGGCTTGTTAAGTTGGTATTACACTAACCAGAATATATATTCTCTTAATCGATGTAGATATATATATAGATAAAAACTTATGCTGATTTCAATAGTGGCTATATCCTTGATCTACCATCCCCTTATTGGCTCCTTGCTTCTCTTGCTTCTTCCATGTGCCTTACTTGACGAATACGCCTTATGTCCTTTTTTTACATGTCTCTTACCATACTTACAGAAAGCAGGCTTCGAGCATATATGTGGGTTGTGTATGTCCTCTAAGTGGTTTGTTATCGTATTCTGTCTATTTTTTATTGTTAATAATAAGTAATTTATAACACTGTTGTTGATAAGTTGTTAATATAGTTTTATAAGCAACATAAGAACTAACCAAATACCGGATGATTAATGACAATATTATTAAATACATTAGAAATGTGGTAAGAATGATAGAGCAGAGAGAAAAGAATAGGACTAATACTTGTTTAACGGAGATTCAAGTTCACTCGGCGGTTAGGCAAAGCCTACACACACTGCCGACCAAGAAAGCCGGTGGAAGTTGGTGATGGAGCAGAAAAAAAAACCTTGACTTGTTCTCCCCAGATACAATAGCCCGACTTAAGTTATGTATGGGTTCACTAATGAGTCTGGGCACAAGTTGGTTGGAGCCAAACTTCAGTCCCAATTACTCTTTAATTAGGTTGTTTGGCTCATCTGCCAAGCAGCACCACGATAATAAAACAGTGAACACAGCAACTCCTTCTATGGCCTCCAGATAAGAATGAAATTAGCAAATGGTTTGGATAGAGAGGAAACTTGGTACGGCAAGTTGTCTTGAGGAGAGGAAACTTAGTGGAATAGTCTTCTTGGAGGCAGAAGAAAGACTGTGGACTTGGAGGCAAGACTTAGAGACTTGGAGAGGAAGACTTGACTTTTAGAGGATTCTGGAGGAAAATTTAGGAAGTTGCGTGTGGGAGGGATCCGGTTTGGTCACCAAGAAAAAGGATTAACTTGGAGGAAATAAAAGAAAAACTTGGAGGGAAAGGAAAGAATAAGTTTCAGGGAACATTGTTTTAGTGAGCAATGTAGTGTGATAATATTAAATGATGCTTGCTAACAATTCTCTCAACCTATTTTAATATTATAAGTAAACAAAAACTAGATTAATAGACAAGTATAAGGGTGGCCAGTGTATTATGCTTCATGGTAGGTTGTGCTCTGGCATTTGAACCTCCTATAGTGAAACAATATATTTACTTTCTAGAGTCAATAGCATGGCTCAAGCATTGAACTACGACTGTATGGCCTTAAGGAAGATAATGGGATAATTATTGGCAGCAACAGGCATAATATTCAGTGTCACAATAAGCGTATTTTGAATAAGCGCGAGCAGGCATTACGCCTTTGGTGTTGCGATCCGTTAGGGTGAGTTGTCGGATTATAGAGGTGTGCGGTTGGAGTGAATTGTAGAACCGCGTGGAATCTCCTTAGGTGGGGTAGCGGCCCCACTACACACCACATAGGTGAATTCTGTCAAGGGTGTCTATCAACTAATGAACCCCGATAGACCCGCTTAATAATGAGGATGCCTGGACATAGATATTCATTAAGAGGGTGTGGTTGTTGATACTTAATCCCCTACAACGGTACAGGGGGAGATAAGAGTGCACTGTAGCTCATAGGTATGGGTAAAAATTAATTTAATGTATTTCTCGGTGCGCGATGGGGGCATATAGATCGTTCTTCTCGAGTTGATCCCAGTTACAGGATCTCTGGTGGGTTGTGGGGTTAATTGGCCTAGTGTATACATGGCTCATGTTATATTGGGCTCGGAATTTGGGCTTCAACCCCAGGCGTCCCCCTCCGAATGGGTCCAGTGTCGAGACTTTTAGTCTCGTTTTGTTAGGGAGCCTGTTAGGCTCCGGTTGTTTGGGGTATATAGGGTGGGAGGGGATTTGGATTACTAAGTTCCGGCTCTGGTATTACTAATGGGGTGTTTGTTTTGAGAGGATGTGGAGGAGGACTATTAATCCCTTGGGTATTAGTAGTCCCCTTGGAAGGAGAGAGGTAGCGCGCTCCCAAGGAGAAGATAGAGTGGGCAGTATTTAAGAAAGGTGTAGGAGGGGTGGGGATTAGAAATTTTTTTATTTTTTGTTATTTTTTTATATTGGAAGTTTTTTATAAATATTAATGTTTAATTTTTGGGTTGTATATTTTTTTAGAGATATGGTGGGTGTTTATTATTTTATATAAAAATAACTTTAACAATTCCTCTACTATGAATCCCCTCATGTCTATCTCTGATAAACAACGGGGCCCTAGTTTATAGATCTGCAAGATTATCACCAGATTTTAATGATTAATCCACATTTTATGATGCCGGATTATTCATATAAGATCTCACAGTACTGTATGTTTTCTTTGATAGGTCTGGAGGTTGGTGTGACCGTCTGGGGGTGTATAATTAATGAGGTTTGTTACAGACTCGACCAGGTGATTGGCGGTTTGCGGTGCTATCACAATGAATCAATACATGTGGTAGAATCGATGGTTGTGCCCAACAAGAAAGTTTTTCAGTCTGTAAGCAAATCATGTCTTTAACCAATTTTGTGCTTCTTCTACTGAACTTCTTTTGTTTGTTTTTTAGCTAAAGCAATTTTAAGGGTTCTTGGCAAGCCTCCATTGTTTGAGGTTTATTCGAGCAATAATGGTTTTTGTTTTGTTGGTCGTGTGTTGTTATTTCAACTATATAGCACCACCTCCCAGAGGTGGAGTGAACAAGGCCCGAGTAAGTAACCAGTAGGGGTCTGATAAATGGGGACACTGTGGTGGAGCAAGGTGATATTCCAATCGGCATTCTGTTACCTTCAAGTACCTTGCAGGATTACTGGTTTTATTAGTGAAGGTGGGTATTTTATTGTACAGGAGGTTAAAATATGTTCAAATCGCTTAATGGCTAGCCAGTGTCACAGCCAGGCTTGCTAGTAAATACTCTGCTAAGTAGCTGCTCGCGACGACTGCAGGTGATGTGGCGGATTAGTCAGGGGGCGTTGGGTATTAGTCAGGGATGCATCAGTGCAAGCTTCTAATATACTAGCATATTTGTATATAACCCTTCACACTGATTACTGATAACCCTACTGATTACTGCTAAACTGAATTGATGATGATAGGTGGTAGTATTGAATCGACTGAGGATGTACTAGACCCGCGTGATGGCTGATAGTTGATGGTACGTAGGTATTTAAATGCAGTGCTATCTGTTTGACTGGGTTATTGAGTAATTATCTGCGCAGATGTTGGTTTGTATGTTTAATGTTGTGTGAATTTTTTGAGAGGCGGGTTTACTCGGACGGTGGTGCTGGTGGGAGGGGGCCGTGATTTCGAACATCAGATAGATGTTGGGGTTACCGGCTTGGATCATTAGAATTTATGTGAATTTTGAGGTAGTGTGGTGATTTATTTGAAAACCTGATTTGGCCTATGATTTAAACTTGGGTGGATCGGCAGGTACTTTGATAAATTACAGTTGTTATTGGCTTGGCCGGGGGAATTAGCGCTGACTTGGTACCACTGGAGATGGGGCGGAGGGGTACTTGATAGCCTTTGTTGATTTCACTATCTGAGCCTTAACACATGGTTTATCTCCTAGGTCATGGGCCATATTGTAGGGACAGCTCAAAACCGACTGATGAGAGGAGTTATGGATGGTGAACTTAGCTTCATCTTGAATTTTGGGTGCGATGTGAATAATTGTCGTAGAGGATTGTGTTAAGAGTTGAGGTTGCGAGTGTATTTATGAGGCTGGGTATTTATCGTTGGGTGGCATTCTAGCCTAGGTTTATAGAACTCAGTTCGTTCTTGATTGCTAAATAAGTCTTATGTTGCCATGGTGGTCTCATTGGTGTGAGTGGGTAGAGATTAGGGCATTTGGTTTGAATCTAGGACTGTATGGACAAGAGGTTGTGTTGGAAATTGAACGTGTCTTCATGTCGATGTGCGTTTTAATATCCTAGGATTTGAGGTTGTGGCCAAGTGAAAGAGATGGGAATTTGGAACATGCGCATGTTCGATATTATTGGTGTAAGCCTGCATTGGATGTTTAGTCGATATGTTGGAGAAGATTTGGCTCAATTGAGCAGGTGCCTTTTGAAGCTTTTGAAGTTGTTGAAATTCATACGGAATGTGAGGTAGGTACACAGTTCATCATGTTTTCTTGAAGTATTGTTTGAAGATGTGGGTTTAATTCCTTCACCTTTGGCGCGCGTTATTTACAGAATTGAGCTGGTGAATCATGTCAGTAGCTATGGTTGTTTTACAAAGTGTTTTCCAGGAAATGGCCCCAAAGGAATCGACATTTGTATTTGTAGTTGAAATTTTGAGTTGAGATTCAATATCTGGGTGGAGTGTTTGCTCCTAGATTTTGAACTCACGCTCGAGCGTGGGTGCGTAGGAGCTGCGCACGTGTGATGTCGCCCGGGGAGAGCTGTGGAAATCGTGCCTCCCAGCATTTGTTCTATTTTGAGTAGTCCCAAGCTTGGTCGGAGCGGGGTGGTGGCTAAGTGTGTGATTTCACAGGTTCCCCGGAGTCAGGACCTGGTGGTGGGTATGTCTTTGTGACGCTCGAACAGGGGTGGTCTGTCGAGCGGGTTGCCGACAGGTGCGAGGGGCGGTGTTAGATTAGTTTCACCCTATCAGCAGGCGTTGTGTGCGGTACTGTTATTTACTGCTCCCGCGCCCGGAAAATCGTGCAGAGTGGTGATAATGTCGTGCGCTGCGTCGAGCGTAAGAGCCTTATAGATAATGAGACATTATATAAAAAAACCAGCATCTCGACGATTCTCTTCTCT